GTTCGAATGAGCAAAACGCTAATTCGAACTAGTTTTTAAGTCTAGATGCACTAATTCAAATTATCTTAGTTCGAATTAACTAATTTGACCTAAGTTAGTTCGAATTAGCGCTGTAGTGTAGACGTACCCGAAGGAAGAGGCTTCACACGCTGTCCCCATCCCCAGCAAAATCTTGCAACTCCCATTGGCTGGTTTCTGGCCAATGGGAGCTGCCTGTTTGCAGGACAGGCAGTGTGCGAAGTACCCTTTCCTCTCTGGGCTCGCAGTGTAGAGTCACTCATGCCCCATGCAGCTGGTCCAGGGGCATGGCAGGCAGGGACACTGGCTAAGGAACCAGCTGGGCTGCTGGCCAGGAGCTGCCCAGGTAAGTGCCTCCCAGCCAGAGCCTGTCTGTGGCACCCCAGTTCCTCCCTCATCCTAACCCTTTGCCCCCCTACTGCACTGCTACCCCATGTAATCCAAGCCCTCTGCATTACTGCTCCTGCACCCATATCCCCTCCCGGACCCTGCACCCCAGTCTCCTGCCCCAGGTCACAACTCCCTCCCATACCCTACACCCCCTCTTTCACCGCAGTCCCTTACCCCAAACTCCCTCCCAGACCCCACACCTCCTCCATTAATATCATAGAAGAGTGCGGTCCTTGACCACTTACCAAATTCTTGGAGTGGCCCTCTTAAAAAGTGGCACCCCAGTTCCTCCCTCATCCTAACCCTTTGCCCCCCTACTGCACTGCTACCCCATGTAATCCAAGCCCTCTGCATTACTGCTCCTGCACCCATATCCCCTCCCGGACCCTGCACCCCAGTCTCCTGCCCCAGGTCACAACTCCCTCCCATACCCTACACCCCCTCTTTCACCGCAGTCCCTTACCCCAAACTCCCTCCCAGACCCCACACCTCCTCCATTAATATCATAGAAGAGTGCGGTCCTTGACCACTTACCAAATTCTTGGAGTGGCCCTCTTAAAAATTATTCTCCCCCCCCACTCTAGACTGAGGATGAGATTTTACCATTGGCAGATCTGTTCAGCTTCTTGTGAGAACTGATGCCCCTCTGCCTCCTCCGCCCCCCACTCCCCAGCAGGCGTCTCTCTTAACCTTTCTTCGCCCGATCTGACTCCAGCGGTGCCTGGACTGCAGTCACTTTCTTTATTCACTCCAGCACTCGACCTTGCTCCCCTAAATCAATCACTCATTCCAAGGCAGGTTATAAAGCGTTTGCATTCATTGGCCCAACCCTGCTGACGAATATCGCCATTCTAATTTGCTTTCTTTATCTGCGTAATTAGAAATGTCAGTACTGTGTTTTTCTGGGTGCTAGGCCTTCCTGTGACATTTTCCTCTTCTCGTGGCTGCTCTCTCCGTTTCCTCCATCACCCACTTCCCGGTTGCTTTTTTTCAGAGGGCAGAATCAGCCCGTTCTGAACCTGTCGAATGGACAAGCCTTCATCACGGCCCAGAACCATGGATACGCGCTTGAGAACAGCACCCTCCCTCCCGGCTGGAAACCGCTTTTTGTGAACATCAACGATCAAACCAATGAGGTAAATGCGTTCTCTCCCGACTTGTGGTCAGGCCGTGGGGGAGAGAGGGGTGCACAGTCATTTTTTTCACTCGCATCCCTCTCTCGAGCCGGCTTCACCTGTGGGGGCAGCCGTGCGGATTACCCATCGCCACCAGTTGTTCCAGAAGACATCTTCTCCCTCTGTTGCATCATCTGCTCCTTCCCTTTATGCGGTGGAGCTGCTGTGCCAGCTGATTGTTGCCACAGCCTGCGTGGAGCCTCTTGGTCAGCTACCCAAGTTGCAGAATCCATGTGGTGACACCTTGCTGATAACAGTTTTCGCAGGATCTTGTAAGAAACCGGCCCCTCCCCCAGCCTAAGATAATTTCTGTGGATTTAATGGAAATCCCGTGCTCTGAAGACTGCTCAACCCGCAATACCGCATTATTATTCGTATCACAGTGACACCTCGAATCCTCACCAAGGCTCCAGTGTGCTGGACACATGCCAGTCTCTGCCCCAGTGAGCTTACAGAAGAGAAGAGGGAGGCAGGATTTGACAGCAGCTTTCAACTACCTGAAGGGGGATTCCAAAGGGGATGGAGAGAGGCTGTTCTCAGTGGTGGCAGAACAAGGAGCAATAGTCTCAGGTTGCAGTGGGGGAGGTCTAGGTTGGATACGCGGAAAAACTATTTCACTAGGCCCTGGTCTGCGCTAGGGCTTTATTTCAAAATAAATACATTCCTTAATAAATGGAGCGTCCACACTACGAAGCCCATTATTTCGAAATAACGGGCCGCTTATTTTGCAATCTGCACTCCTGCTTTCCTTGGGGAATAATGTTCGTTTCAAAATAGTTATCCCAAAATAACAGCAGTGTGGATGCTCCGCTGCTGCTGTTTCGAAATAGCTGCTCCCCACCGTCATTAGAACAAATTACTCCCCAGTGCTTCCTGGGGCTCAGAGTCGAGGTAGCGTGTCCACAGTAACGGAGCCTGCCTCGGACTAATTTTGAGGCTTCCCCATCGTGTGCACCTGCTATTTCGATGTTGTTATTTTGGGAGTTATTGCATTGATTTTAGTTATTTTGAAGTAGTTTCCTAGTGTAGACATGCCTTAGGAGGAGGATGAAGCACTGGGATGGGTTCCCTAGGGAAGTGGTGGAATCTCCATCCCTAGAGGTTTTTAAGTCTAGGGGTGAGGGATAGCTCAGTGGGTTGAGCTTTGGCCTGTTTCAACCCGGGGTTGTGAGTTTAATCCTCGAGGGGACCATTTAGGGATGTGGGGCAAAATCTGTCAGGGATGGTACTTCGTCTTACCCTGGGGCAGGGGACTGGACTTGATGACCTCTCAAGGTCCTTTCCAGCTCTATGAGATAGGTATTAAAAAAGTCTGTGCTTGACCAAGCCCTGGCTGGGATGATTGAGTTGGGATTGGCCCTGCTTTGAGCAAGGGGCTGGACTTGATGACTCCTGAGGTCTCTTCCAGCCCAAGGATTCTATAATACAGCTTTAATAGATGCAGGGAGGCAGAGGCACAGAGAGAAATGATTTGTCCTGGATAATGCAGGATGTCTGTGGACCAAAAGAAGTAGGAACAGGTCCTAGGGTTCCAGTGTGGTGCCCTATCCTCTTGCCAAAGCCGCCTCCTGTAACCCCATGTTATTCTCGAGACTCATAGAAATGCTGCTTGCTTGCAAGTGGCTGTTTGGAAAAAAAAACAAACCCCCGTGGGTGGATACCTTCCTATCCCCTTCTATCAGCCCTCCATTCCCAGCCCACATCAAACTAGACAGGCTGGAAATTGGTGTACTAATGTGTGCACAAACTGCTTTCCCATAAGATACATTTAACAGAAGTTTGCTTGCCAGCTGGTGTGGGCTGCAGTTCCAAGTAAAGCTGAGCAAATAGTGGGGGGACAAAATTCTGCCACGGTGTGTTTCAGCATTGAAATTAGTTCTCTTTGGCCTCATTCCCAGCCCCTGCTTTGTGTGCGCTTTATATGAAGATTGGAGCAGTTAAAGTGGCTGGCCAAAATGTGTGTGGAAAATTTAGAGTCACACAAGGAAGAACAATGAGGTCCAGGCTGGGTCATCTGTGGGAGGGGAACTTACAACCTCTGCAGCTGAAAGACACAAGACTCCATTGCTTGAGCTGAAGGACCAATTTTGTTGTGCTGGAGGCGGTGGTAGACTCAGAAACTGCTGCACATGATGTAGCCACTAGAGGGCCACAGAGAGCGGCACTATGAGAGGACACATTTGAAAAATGTTCGTGGAAGTTGAATTTGATAACCACCTCCGTAAGCTGAGCACTCTTCCATGCAGGGAAGAGAATGATCCCATGAGACCAAGCTGAACCAGGCCCAGTTGAGCAAAGCAATGCAGATACCAACTCTTTATAATCAAGCCGTGGAGTACAAATTTGAAAAAAAAAAAAAGAATAAATAGAAAAAACGAATACATTCAGGGAAACTGCAAGTTAGCCCGTGGTATTCTGCGATCTGAAGGAGCACGGAGCTTGTGCAGTAATTGGTCATCGCGAGTGATGTCCTGACTTCAGAATGGTCAGTTCTTCATTGTAGGCTAGTTACACAAAGGCCTGAAACCAACTGCCCGCCTCTCACCTCCACCCTGTTACTATCCCATGCTCTCTGCTGTGACTCTTCCTCTGCTCTCAACCACTCTCTGGGTATGTCTACGCTACCCTGCTAGTTTGAACTAGGAGGGTAATGTAGGCATACCGCACTTGCAAATGAAGCCCGGGATTTGAATTTCCCGGGCTTCATTTGACGAACTAGGTAGTTACTCCTCATTTCACGAGGAGTAACGGTAGTTTGAACTAGGAAGCCTAGTTCGAACTACCTAGTTCGTGCCCCGTGTAGATGCAGGGAGTTTTAAAAATGGCGGCTCCCCACTTATGCAAATGAAGCCCGGGAAATTCAAATCCCGGGCTTCATTTGCAAGTGCAGTATGCCTACATTACCCCGCTAGTTCGAACTAGCGGGGTAGTGTAGACATACCCTCTCATCCCTACTCCTGCCCCCTTGCTGTAGACGCTGCTGGGACCTACGTTGGCCCTTCCTCAGAGGAGAGGAAGTGGAGCCTTTTCCCCGGGTTCCTCTGAGGTCAGAGCTTCTCATCGTCCACCCGACATGTCCAGCTTCCCATCAGGCAGAAAAGGCTTTTGCAGGACACTTGTTCATTGTCCAAAGGCCACGCTGTGCCGTGCCTTTCATGAGAAAGTGACTGTGCCTCCCGCAGCATGGAGCTGCCAGCAGCTGCGGCAAACCCAGCTCAGGCCATTGTTCTTGGCCTAGCATGGTGTTCCCATTTATCTTCTCCTGCCAACGGCCCTGGGAAGAGGCAACTTGTGCCCACTGTTGTGGCAATGTCCACAATTTGCCTCGTGGCATTGAACTGAAGACACTGGGCCACGTCCAGCCTTAGTATGATAAAACTACCGACCTCGATGGAGTTCGAGCGGGGATGGATTTGTCCCTGTGTTTTCAGCAGCACTAATACAAAATCAGAGCAGTAGTAGCCACCATTTTTCTACAGCCCTATCCAGCTGTCTGTCTTTTGACTACTATGTTCCTCCTACATCTGTGCCAATGTGGTATCTGGAAGGAGACTAACATCTTCTCTGTCTCAGGGTACGTCTACATTGCAGAGCTATTTTGGCATACCGGAAATATCCCGAAATAGCTCTTCCACATCTATTGAAGCAGCCCGTTATTTTGAAATAGATTTTGAAATAACTGGCAGCTTATTCCGATGTCCCGGTGACCCTCGTTCCACGAGGGTTCAGGGGCATTTCGGAATAGTGAGTTATTTTGAAGTTTGGCATTGTGTAGACAGCGCCAAATTATGAAATAAGCTATTTCAAAATACATTCGAAATAAGCTACACAATTTGCGTAGTGCAAATTGCGTAGCGTATTTTGAGCTAAGGGTGCCCTTAGGGTGTGTCTACACAGCACCCTTAGCACGAAATAAGCTTATTTTGTAATGTGGGCTATCTACACAGCACAAATAACTTGCTATTCTGAAATGCCCTTTAACGAGGGTAACTGGCAGGGCTTGACAAATAATGCAACCCGGAAGAGCCGGCTTTGGGCGATCTGTGCACCGGACAGCGCAGCTGGCAAGCAGGGCTCGCTGCGGTTCGGCGAGCCCTGGTTACTGAGATGTCAGAATAAGCCGCCCGTTATTTCAAAATCTATTTCAAAATAACGGGCTGCTTCAATAGATGTGGAATAGCTATTTTGGGATACTTCCGGTATCCTGAAAGAGCTCCGCAATGTAGACATGCTCTCAGGGACTAACAAAAATATACCTAGTAGCATGAGCTTTTGTGGGCACAACCCACTTCCTCAGATGAGTGTGGAGAGAAAAGGGGGAACCACCCGATTTATAACACAAAAAGAAGGGAAAGGAGGAGAAAAAAAACCTGTCAGTTGTAGTGCCGGTGCTAATGAGGATAACCAAGTGGACTGTACGTGTCCCGTTCATAGCTTTTGCTGTCATTTGGGTGTTGAATATAAGGGCCCATCCATTTCATCGTCTCTTGGCATTCCATAGAGATGTTTGAAGCATTCACTATTCAGTCGTGCACAGTGCTGTAGGTTACACGAGTACTGTATTGCCAGCAAAAGGGCCAATGGCTCAGTGCCGTAATGGTTACAAGTCCAGGAAGAACTGGAATGAAATGAGTTTCAACTCAACACCCCGCAAACTCATACCAGCCCCTGGCCCTGGGGTGCCCTACAGAGCTCCTCTGTCTCCCTCATGACCTGGGTGTTGTCTAAAGCAATCCCTTTTATCCCCACAGGGAATTATGCATGAAACCAAACCAATTTTCACATCCCAGTTCTGCCCGGAGGCCAGCGCGGGACCAACGGACACGGAGGTACTGTACTGAGACTGGTTCAGGTTTGCTTTGGGGCTGGATGAAGGAATGCATGGAGAGCACAGAGCAGCTAATGGGGGAACCCTGAAAATCTAGATGCAGTGACTTTCCTAGGTCCTGTTTCTGGAAACGTCGGTACAGGTTGGACCTCCCTGGTCCGGCACCCTCGGGACCTAAGCTGTCCCAGACCAGGGAGTTTGCTGGATCAGGGGAGGTCAATGGTCCACTGCCCCACTGCTGGCTCCTCAACCTGGGGTTCCCTGTCCTATGGCTGGCCTGGCTGAGGCTCCTCACTCATTGATGCCGACGATCCCCCGTTGGCCACCACTGCTTGACCCTGGTACCTCCGGGGGTTTCCCAGCCCCAAGGCCACCCGGCTGCCACGTGTCCCGCTGCTGTGGCCCGGATCCACTGCCTCCAGGGGGTTCCCAGCTAGGGCTGCGCGGGGGCTGACCCTGCTGTCGCCGGGTGTTCCCGGCTGGGGCTGCCAGACTGCCTTCACTTCTCCCGGGAATTCCCCTGCTGGGGTGGGATTCCTGGTTGCCTCCTGGCCCCGCCACTGGGGTTCCTTGGCCAGGGCTCCTGGGCTGCTGCGTGGCCTTACTGCTGCTGGGGAGTTCTCAGGGTTCTCCAGCCTGATCCCACTGATACCGGGGGTTCCCTGGCTTAGGTAGAGGCTCCCAAATGCCATCTGGCCCAGCTGATACTGGGGTTCCCCTGCATAGTTGCTGATGACCTAGCTGGAGCTCCACTTTCCCAGGGCTCTTCGGTCCAGCAACATCTGTGGCCTTGCCAGACCACGCATGTTACTGGACCACAGAGTCCTGGATTTGGGAGGTTCAATCTGTACCTCAACCAAGTCCCAGGCCTGCATAGACTTGCCAGCTTTAGCCTGTTTCAAAACTAATTGAAATCAGTGGAAAGATGTCCATTGACTTTAGTGCAGGTCCTTGAATAGACTCCATCTACATGAGTAGTGGAAATCAATCACACGGGCAACAGTCCTGGTGTGACTTTGTTCACATGATGGGATTACTCACATGCAGAAAGTTACTCATGTGCTTAAATCTCTCTTTGCGGGACTGGACCCATACCCCCTTTTACTTGTAATTTTTTTTAGAAAATAACATGTACCTATAATTGTATTTAAAAAGAAGAAAGCCTGATGCTTTTTCAAAACGAACCCATTAACTTTCTAATACATTTAATTCCACTCTCATATTTTGTAATTGTAGAGTTATATAAAAGGGATTCACATTGACTCTCTCTTGTTCGTCTCATTGAAATGAAATTTTAATCCCCCATCTTGCGGCTTCATGTAAATTCATAGAGCTACTGGCCGTGTAGTCTCAGTGCATGCCGAAGGGTGATGTGAATGATACAAGGGACAGAGGGAATGTCTGAACTTGAATCTATTATTGAGAATTTCTTGGGAAAGGAAGCAGAAGCAGTTGGAAGTGATTTACTTTTCATTTTCATTTGGTATTGTGGGTTCATTCTGTAAGTGGATCTCTCAATAAAAAATGTCTTACTTGGACCAATGATCTGTGAATGTAGAGGAACTGAAAACTACCCCGGAACAGTCCTTCCAATTGCTTGTGTACTACCATTGTTCAAATACTGTAATGTGCTAGATAGACTGATAGATGTAAAGTGTCCCAGAAGCTGCGTTGTACCCAATTCGATCCTAAGTTGGTGTAAATCAGCATAGCTCCACTGATCTGGATAAGAGCACGCTGTTCTGATTTCTAACTTTTAACATTCATTCTTCCCTTGTACATGCTATCACCTCCATACAAGTAAAGTATATGTTGTGTGCTGGGATGGAGGGAGGGGGTGAATGGGTTCTGTAGGCTTTCTCTCTCTCGTTTCCTCCCTCATACCATCTTACTTCCTTGAACACACCGTTCCATATGAGATAATTATAGAAATTGGAAATACGGGCTCTGATTCTTCACTGGTGTAAATCAAAGTCACTTGAAGTCAATGGAGCTATGCTGACTTACATCAGTGGCGGGTCGGCCCGGAGCAGGCCTGCTTTTTCTCTCTTTCATTTGTATTTGTTTAGTCTGGATGGGGTGCTAAAATAAATGTGTTTTATCTTTCCCAGTTCCTATTCGATTCGTTCTTTTCCCTGATCAAGAAGGGAAAAGGCACTACCGTAGCCTCGGTGCTGCCCAAGGCCACAGCTGCAGCATCTAGACTTCAGGTCAGTATATTAATTTTTTTTTTTTTTTTTAGCTATCAGTCATACAGCAGCTGTAACGTGTATTGAATCTGAGGGAGAGAATGCAGAGCATAAAAAATTACCTGGGAAACAAGTCCGGGACAAAGCTACATTAGGATTTCATTTCTTCTTATTAAAGCCATTGGATTTCTCATGTTCATTATTTCATTAACTCTCTCTGTCCCTTGGAGGAAGTTTTGAAACGTAGTGCTTCATCTATATGTTTTTGTGTGCTCCCTGGAGCATATGCTTGTTACGGTGACCTCTATATTTCATGGCACCTCGTGCAGGTGTAGCCAGTTACGAGAGTTGGTAGACCGCAATGAGACAAAGCTGCATTGCTAGGAAAAAAAGTTTGGAATTCTTGGCATGAGCCAAGTTGCACAGTGCATGGTGTCTTCAGACGGCGGTTGGTCTGTGAATAAAAGCTACAATACAGAGATGTGGGAAGCCAAAGTGAAGCTTATACATTAAACAGTCAGTATGTTTACTATGTGTTTTGTGTAGAACCTCAGTCCCCACCATTTCTTTAGCCACCTACGTGTGAGATAGGTTTAATACAACTTTTCTGGGAAGGTGAACAGAAAGCTGCCATTTTTCTCAAGTTGGCTTTTCTTCTCACTTTGACCTCATTTTCATGATGCGAGGCCATTCCACGTTGCATAGTTGCCCTCCCATCCTTTTGCCCCCATTTTGAAATCATCCTAATCATTTCACACTCTTAACTTTTAGGTTTCCAAAGTTCTCATCCTAGGATCCGGAGGTCTGTCAATTGGTCAGGCGGGGGAATTTGATTACTCTGGATCACAGGCGGTTAAGGCCATGAAGGTAAGAGAATGCTCCAAGTACATTATCCAAAGTTAATCAGCTTTCCTTTGTTGCATCTAGCTGGTCATTTGTTCCATCCATAAAGCTGTGCATTTATGTAAGTTACTGAAGAATGGAGCTGGTTATTCTCCCCAAATAATGCAAATTATTTGGTAAATTTAGCTCTTATTTGTGTTTATTAATTATGTTACTTCATTTGTAAGAATTCACCAAATAGTTTAGGGAAACTGACTTGGAATTTCAGCCTTTGGATCTGTTCCCCTTTGATTACTGAACTTAGTCACCTGGTGTGGCTACTACTCCCTGATTGGCTGACTGAAGGTTCATAAGTAGGAGAGTAATGAGAGGTAATTAATGCACTCCTGAAACTATCAGGTGACTAACATCTGTGCTAAAATTAGGGAAACAGTTGAGAGTCCCTGGATATTTTCACTCAGAAAGTGTCAGTCATCAAAATATGGATGGAAGATGAATGGTATGACCTCACTATTGACAGTGATATGTTTGCTAGTGAAAATATGATGAATTTTCTGTCTGTGCAACCCAGCCCGCTCGTCTAAATAGGCTATTCTGTACGATACATGCAATAAAATAGTTTTTTAAAAGCAAGATGTTCCATATTCATCCATTGTCAAAGGGCTTATTCCAGGGATGAATTTTGCCTAACTGTAATGAACAGGCATTTAGGTACTCCCAGTTGGTGTCTCTATTCTAAGGCTTATAGGTCCACATTTTTAAGGGTCTGACCACTTCTCTGTGTGCCTGAGTTGGACATGTGAAACCCTCTGTGAATGTATGTGAATTAGAGCTTTTTATAACCAGCGTCCTGATGGGTACCTGTTTGTTGGGTGTTCTACATGCACAACTAGAGGGAGCAGTATTTAGGGTGTGTCACCACAGCAACTGAAACTCTAAATAAGATATGCAATTTGTGCTATGCAAATTGCATAGCTTCTTTGGAGTCTCTTTCGAAATAGCTTATTTCATCATTTGGTGCGTCTACACTGCACCAAATTCTGAAATAAAGCACTATTTTGAGTCCTCTCTTACTCCTCGTAGAATGAGGTTTACAGGGATGGCAAAATAGCACATCCACTGTATTTTTAAATAGCGAACATGTTCAAAAGACGCGGGGTAGCTATTTCGGGATACCTCTGGATATCAAAATAACTTTGATGTGTAAACATGCCCTTTCATATGTATGGAGTTTACAGTGTAAATATTCAGTCCCAGCTCTGGCTACTTCGTACCGTTGTTAGCAGAACTGGGGAAAAGTGACTTGGAAGGGGCGGCTGAGGATTACTGTTCAGATAGGGTCAAAGTCAGTTCTGTGACCATGTGCCCCTCATTGCCTGCTCCACATGGGGGTTTAAGAAGAGAAAGCCCATGGCACTTGGCCAGATCCACAGCTGGCTGCATACAAGGTGACTTAGAGCAGCTGCGAGGTTGCCCTAAGGTAAAACAGCTGGCCAAGAATCAGAGGAAAGGAAAGCTGGATTGGAGCTACGTTTTCCCCAATACTCTTTCTCTCGTTCGCACACAGACACACAGAAACCCAGATACACGCACACATGCTGCACTGGGTTTACATTTGGGCTATGTCTAGACTGGCCAGTTTTTCCGGAAAATCAGCTGCTTTTCTGGAAAAACTTGCCAGCTGTCTACACTGGCCACTTGAATTTCCGCAAAAGCACTGACTTCCTACTGTAAGAAATCAGTGCTTCTTGCGGAAATACTATTCTGCTCCCGTTCAGGCAAAAGTCCCTTTTGCGCAAAGCTTTTGCGCAAAAGGGCCAGTGTAGACAGCTCAGATTTGTTTTCCGCAAAAAAGCCCCGATTGCAAAAATGGCGATAGGGGCTGTTTTGCGGAAAAGTGCGTCTAGATTGGCACGGACGCTTTTCTGCAAAAAGTGCTTTTGCAGAAAAGCGTCCGTGCCAATCTAGATGCTCTGTTCCGAAAATGCTTTTAACGGAAAACTTTTCCATTAAAAGCATTTCTGGAAAATCATGCCAGTCTAGATGCAGCCTCGGTGTAGTTGAGAACTGAGTTCCGAATAAAAAAACTAGTAGTCCTATGGCACCTTAGAGACTATTGAAAATATATCTAGTATTGTGAGCTTTCGTGGGCACAACCCACTTCCTCAGGTGACAGTTCCGAATGTCGTGACTCCTGGGTTTGTTTATATTGTGCAGTGCTGCTGATGGCCCCAAGTCTAAGGGGGATACATCCAAACAATGCACAGCACATCAGGAGGAGAGGCCTAGAGCTGTATGGACACTAGCCTAAAACCCGAAAGGAGGGAATCTTTCTTCTTCTCTGCCCTCCACTCTCAGGGTTCTAAATCAGAGAGAAAAATTATTGTTTTGTAACACAGGGTGTCCCTGCTATAAGCCACCATGGTAGGCATCCGTTCCGCACTAAAGTTGTCAACGCTTGTAGGAATGGATGCGTTATGATTCCTCCCATTCCCTGCTCTTAAGTTGTGCAAAAAAAAAAAAAAAAATTGTGCAAATGGAAGTCACCGCGGGAAAAAATTCCCCACTTTAAGTTGCTTCGCTATAAATCCAAGTTTTTTGGAACGTGTCTTGGACTTATAGCAAGGATGGGCCATAAAACTTGCCAGCTTGCCCGTCCAAAATGCCCTTTTTCTCTTCCCCATAGCACCGGCCAGCTGTCCTTATCTTGGTGCTAATCAGCCATTCTACAGGCAGGACTTGCTCACCCTGACCTCACCTCTGGCAGTGTGATTTACAGTAGCATGCAGAAGATGAGGCAATCGGTTAGCATCTTGTAAGGGGACAGCTTGATAGTCTAGGCAGGAGAAAAATGGACACAGTTAAGATGAGCAAAAAAGGCGAGGCTAAAGATTTTTCTTGCCCAACCTTCTAATGAATTTTTTTTTAGATAGTCCATAACAATCAGAATTACCAGACGTACTGAAACCTATTGCTTTTGTCTGCAACCCTTTTAGTCATTGAAGTCCCAATTCTGTAAGGGTAAATCTACACTGCATGGCTATTTCGAGATAACTCCAGTATCCCATAATAGCTACCCTGAGTATACACAAGCTGCTCGTTATTTTGATTTTTTTCCAAAATAACAGGTGTGCTATTTTGCACACCTCGTTGCATGAGGGTTAAGGGCTGGCTCAAAATAGTATGTTATTTCCAAATTTGGCGCTGTGTAGGATGCGCCAAATTTCAAAATAAGCTATTTCAAAATAGACTTAAAATAAAATACACAATTTGCAGCGCAAATTGCGTATCTTATTTTGAGTTTACGGCTCTGTGTAGATGCATCCCTAAGACACTTCATTGGGTACTTCAATCAGTCTCTTAAGCATATATATAAACTTAAAGACCTCCTGAATCAGGGCCTTATTCACAAACATTCAGGTGAATGAGTTTTTATGTGCAAGACTGTGCAGAGAAAGCAAGTGTGCCATGAATCTAGACATAATTGGGAGTGCACAGGTGCTGAACATGCTCAGATGTTCACTCATATTATTGCATGTCTAGCTTCTCTGTTGGCTTCGCTCTCTTTGTAGGCTACATTTTAAAATGTTCATGTTGGTTTTCATTTCTCAGGAAGAAAATGTGAAGACCGTCCTGATGAACCCCAATATTGCCTCAGTCCAGACTAATGAGATTGGCTTGAAGCAGGCTGACACGGTCTACTTCCTCCCCATCACCCCACAGTTTGTCACAGAGGTCATCAAAGCAGAAAGGCCAGATGGGTTAATTCTGGGCATGGGTGGCCAAACAGCTCTCAACTGTGGTAAGTATCATGAAATTGTAGCTGAATTAATCTCTCTAGCTCCACATTCTTTGTAGCTGGCTTTACCTTATCAAAACTGTAAGCTTTTAGCAAGGGGTTGCACTCAATGACTTCCTGAGGTCTCTTCCGACCCTGTGATTCTATGATCAGACAAAACATTTCCTTACAGATATTTATAAGTAGAGATATTGGCTTAGTGGACTGATATAAGTACTAATTTAACTGTACCTATTGAATATGACTTTTGGTGGATATTTTTTTATGTTTATCAGTGTTATATAAAATTCATAAAAGTTTCATACAATAGTGCTTTGCAATTGCAGCATATAAATCTTGCTTTAGATGGCAGATATGCATCATGTTCTGTGCCTAAACATTGAGGTGATGATTGAAAAGGGAAGCTAAAGGGACACTAGTGTTTTGCATAGCTTAGCATGGCAGCACCAATTGGCACTGCTCCATTTAGCATCAGAAATGGCTTCAAACCACAAAATTCAGATCTAGAGGCAGCATTTATAGATTTTTAAGGCCTCCAGGGACTACTATGATCATCTAGTCTGACTTACTGCCTAACACAGGCCAAACCACCTCACGCCATAATCTCTGCTTCAAAACCATCGTCTTCTGAGAGTATAGCTCATCTTTTAGAAAGATAATCTGTCTTGCTAAAGACTTAAAAGTGAAAGGGAACTTACCACATTTCATTTTAATCCAAGGTGTTGGTCCTAACTAGTATAAAAGAAGATAGATTTGCAAAATCCAGACCAAATCTGGTACAGATTGTGACAGTCCCCAAGGTCTGCCACTATTTGAATCTCTGTGTTGTCGTATTTAGGAATTTCCTTAGTTAGTATTATACTTTAATAGAACACAATGTTTAGAACATTTAGGTCTGATCTGAAACTTGTCAAATTAAATGTGGATGTTTCATGTTTATTTTATTACAGCATTTTCAAAAATGGTGGTAATTTAGGATTTCCCATAATTCCATCCTGTTACAGTGGATGTGGAAGGAGAAATGAACACCGACTTTACAAATTTAAGGTTTATCACTGCCAAACGGCTCTTTAGGATTGCCTGGTCTTTGGATCATTTAGAATTATGCAGGGATTAGCACTTAATCAGACTGTACTCCATGTGCACATTGGTGGTTAAGATTGTCTCACAGGACTTTTCTGTCTCTAAATGTAGTGATCTCTCAATTTCAAGGGCTAGATTCCCCTCTAGAATCTTCTGAACCACATGTGACTTGTTTTCCATTGTCCTACGCCTCGTGTAGCCATCTACAACTGGGCACAGCGAGTGTGAAATGTTTCCAAATGAAAACGGCAGAGCTTCTTTACATTCTTCATGGGCAGGCATATATGTTCACACAAAGCAGTAGAGAATCAAGCCATATTTGTTTGATTATATCCCTGGTCTTTTGGCTTCTCTGCTCAGAATCTGTTTCAGATGCTTTCCTGAACTGGGGAGAGTATCCCTATTCTAGAAGTCACTTAATCGAATGCTTAAATTTAATCACAGGCTTATGTGCTTTATGAAATGTATTGGAATTTGACAGTTTAAATTTAGAAGCTGTGGTGATGGGAACCATGGATGTGTATCCCCATAGGACTTCCTCTCTGTGCTCAGATCCTAACTCCATCCTTCCCACAGGTGTGGAGCTGTTCAGGCGCGGTGTTTTGAAGGAGTATGGAGTGAATGTCCTGGGGACATCCGTGGAAGCCATCATGGCCACAGAGGACAGGCAACTGTTTTCTGACAAACTGACTGAAATCAACGAGAAGATCGCTCCCAGCTTTGCAGTGGAATCGGTAAATGTGATGAGCTTGAAGACACAAGTCTGCCACGCTTGGCTTTGCTATTTTTTAAATGGCTGAAGCGGAGATTCCCCTTTTGTTCAGCGAAACTGCATTTTGAAAAATAGATGGTACAGGCTATGCACATTTATGTGTGTGGGGGGGAGAGGGGGGGAACCAACGGGTGCTGGTTTGTAATGATCAGCATTGGTTAAAAGTGATACGTGCTAGGTGAAAGCATAGTCTAGGTGAGAAAAGTGTGCGAGGCAGATTCTGACGCACCACGAAAATAGGTGGGCTTGTGAAATGCAAAGAAAAGATTACAGCAGGTGCTCTTGTTAACTGTATCAAAGGATGAAGATTTAGGGGACTAAAAACCAACCCGACTACAACCTGGGACCCTGATGAGGACAATGAGTGTGGTTTTTTGGCATCTCTTGGTCCCCTCTTAGTCTTGGAACAAAGCTATGATCTAAGAAAAATGTTGGCCCAAATTCATTCCTGGTGTAAATCCATTCATGTCAGTGGAGATGTACCAATTAGGGATTGGGTTTGAAGTCTTTACAGTTACCCAGGTATATCTGAGGGCAAAATTTGGCTCCTGGTATCACAAAGGCATAATTCTTTTTTTCTTATCCTAATTCAGGAAACTTCCTTTTTGGTGGGTTTCCAAGTAAACTCTATAACCTGATGCGTACACTCGAATCAGCTTAGTCCTTGTGGTTTCATGTAATATTTATTTGTTTGTTTTAAGATTGAAGATGCTTTGAATGCAGCGGAAAAGATTGGCTACCCAGTCATGATACGCTCTGCTTATGCTCTGGGAGGACTAGGGTCAGGTATTTGTCCCGACAAAGAGAGACTGTTGGATCTTGGAACCAAGGTATGCATGTGGGTGATAGCTATGGGGATCTGCCTTGCCATCTGATTTCATATATTCTTGTAATAGTCACACACGAGCCTAGTTCTACATACTTTATCTAATGCTAAAACATCCTCTTGGTGTCCTGTAAGGTTTTGTTTTCATAATATTTGCCATTGACTTGGGTAGCATGAACGATAAGCAGTATTGTTCACTGCTGTTACATTCTGCCAGAAATGACTCAGAATTTAAGATAATATTTCAGCAGTTTTGTGAAAAAGCAACATAATGGTCTCTTTTTCTCCTGCTCTCAGGAACGAATGTCACAAGGAAGATTCAGAGAAAGTAAAAGCTTAGCTACAACGAAGGGCCAGGAATAGAGAGATTGGTAGGGCTAGGCCATTATTGTATTTGGTTCTTACAGGGGGAAAGGGGAGATCTGGGCTGTGTCTGACTCCTGTGAGAAACTTGACTTTCAGATCTTTTGCATCAGCTCAGTAGGAGAAAAAATGCCAATTATTTTTCCTCAGGAAATTTAGTATTTAAAAAAAAATCCGATTAAAAACAGAAATCAGGAAAATGTGGGTAATGTTTTTCAGTTTGGGAATAAAATGTTCAGTTTTTGAAAGGCTGGATTTTTTTATTTTCTGTGGAAAAACATGAAAATTTGACTGCAATGACAATTTTCATTGGTTAAAAAGTGTTTTTTTTAGTTTAAACAACCTTCGCAGTTTTCCCCAACCAGATTTCCTTTCTTCATTTAAAAAAAATACCTTCCTCTTTGAAAAGTATTTTAGCCTGCAAAGAGCCAAATGTTGGAAAGGAAACTCTGTATTAACATCTAGGGCAAGCACTGGGATCCTAACAAGATAAATATGGATCAAGGACCAGTTAGATTAACATGAGGTGGGATTCACTTGTAAAACCAGCATGTTTCTTCCTATAATTTCAGTTCCATATTTCATTTCCTGTGATGGGGATAATTAACTATATTAAAACATGGATCTGCACACACAGGACTGTGTCATGCAAAGGTTAAATTTGTGAGAGAAACAAAGATGCTGTGCAGTATAGGCAGTCCTGAAGTCAACAAAATCCCATAGGCCCCAGGCTATATTACAGTAAAACTCCAATAGTCCGGCATCCAATAGTTGGGCACTCCTGATAGTCCGGCATCAAAATGGCAAGAGCCTAGTGAGTGAGCTTCGGCAAAAAATGAGTCACAAGGTAACAGCGCTAGCAGCTGAACTGAGCAAAAAGGGTAAAAAAGACTTAAAAAAACAAAAACATTACAGTATACTGTATACAGTATGTACAATAAAAAGGGTTAAGAACACTTTATATACAGTATATAATGTATACAGTATATATATAACCATCTTATAGTACCTCCTGATAGTCCGTCATATCTGATAATCCGGCACCACCTAGGTCCCATAAGTTCCGGATTATCGGAAGTCTACTGTATCCTGAACAGTGATAGTGTTTGTTATTTTCTAGCAACCCACGTGAGACTTAACTACCTCCTTGTATAAAAGTTAATATTAATGTCAATTGATCCATTTGGATCATACTCGTTTACCAATTTAGGAGTGCTTTCCAGATACGGTTCAGAATAATTCCTAACTCTTGCTTCTGGTCAGTAAGTCACAGCAATTGGCAGTGTTTTTAGTTATGCATGTGACTTGTCTTGTTAATTCAGCTGTTTGTCCAAGCACCCTATTTGATGGGAGCTTAGTCACCCATTTGATTTTACACAAAGAAATAATCCTATTGACGTCAGTGGGGCTACTTGCATATATAAAAGTAAACATGTGCGTGTTTGCAGAAGTGCAACCTTATTTTTTATTTTAATTTATATTTCTCATTTCTGTTGCTAGTCTAAATGTCCTAATTTCTTGTCTTATCACATTATTTTCCACAACATTTAAATGAGGCCATTGCAACAACAACAACAACAACAAAAACTACCGGACAATTGTCACAAAATAGTTACTATCTTAGGGTATGTCTACACTACCCTCCTAGTTCAAACTAGGAGGGTAATGTAGGCATACCGCACTTGCAAATGAAGCCCGGGATTTGAATTTCTCTGGCTTCATTTGCATAAGCGGGGCGCCGCCATTTTTAAAACCCCACTGGTTCGAACCCCGTGCAGCGCGGCTACACGGGGCACGAACTAGGTAGTTCGAACTAGGCTTCCTAGTTCGAACTACTGTTACTCCTCATTCCACGAGGAAGCCTAGTTCGAACTACCTAGTTCATGCCCCGTGTAGCCGCGCTGCACGGGGTTCGAACCAGCGGGGTTTTAAAAATGGCGGCGCCCCGCTTATGCAAATGAAGCCCGGGAAATTCAAATCCCGGGCTTCATTTGCAAGTGCGGTATGCCTACATTATCCCGCTAGTTCGAACTAGCGGGGTAGTGTAGACATACCCTTGTATAGTGCTTTCCATTAGCATCTCAGAGTGATATACAAAGTTGGTCAGTAGCATGATCTCCATTTTATAGATGGAGAAACTGAGGCACAGTGGGTAGAAGTAATCTACCCAGAATCCATCTGTGGCGACAGAGCCTTAAACACTGGAATGCATCCAATTCAGTTACATGTGCTTAATAGAAACATATTTCTTCCTTTGGATCCCCTGCTGTCTGTCTTCCCTCACTGATTCTTCTACCCGATTCCCAGGCGTTTGCAGTGACCAACCAGATTCTAGTGGAAAGGTCCGTCGTTGGCTGGAAGGAGATAGAGTATGAAGTTGTGAGAGATGCAGCTGATAACTGTATCACCGTCTGTAATATGGAAAATGTGGATGCTATGGGAGTTCACACAGGTAGGTACTTTATAAGTGACAGTGTGGCTCAGTGTAGACTGCTTTTAGAGCCTCATTTTCATATAATGTCTGTCTTCCTACTGTAGCTGATGCATTTACGTGGCCAATGAGAGCAAGGACGTGGGCATGTCAGATCTGAGTCCTACCAGATCTGACGCCCCACACGCTGCCACACCCTGAGTCTGTCCACATTGTCTCATATTTCACATAGTAGCCTTGCTTCGAAATGCCTGAAAACCAGCCTCTTCCACAGCCCCCATCATTCAACAGGTGTAAGATGCAGCGGGTGAGCAGAGACACGACCCCAGAGGCCAGACTTCATCACCACTCACCTCTTTTGGTTTTTGTTTCGACAAACAGGAGATTCCATCGTTGTGGCTCCCAGCCAGACCCTGTCCAACGAGGAATTTCAGATGCTGAGGGAAAGTGCCATCAAGGTTGTCCGACACTTGGGCATCGTGGGGGAATGCAACATCCAGTACGCCCTACACCCTACCTCCCTGGAGTACTGCATCATTGAGGTCAATGCCAGGCTCTCCAGAAGCTCTGCTTTGGCATCGAAGGCCACAGGGTAAGGCAGGAAATTCAAGCTGGGGAAGGGAAAAGAGTTGGGCAAAGCAGCACCTGAGGCAGGCAACCTAGTGTGTCTACACGGAAGGACTTAACTTGAAATAGGCGATGCAAATTGAGCTACGTCAATTGCGTATCTTATTTCAAAATAGGGAGCATCTACACAGCACGTATTTCGAGATAGAACACTCTTCCTCCGACTTCCCTTACTCCTCGTACAATGAGAGTTACAGGAGTCGGAGTAAAAAGTCCTCCAGCTTGACAGTATTTTGACACAATTTCAGAATAACTGCCTGCTGTATAGAGGCGGACTAGGTGTTTTCAGAATAGCGCTAGTTATTTCGAAATAGAGTTGCAGTATAGAAGTTCCCTTACACACTGGGTATTAAAAACCTTTTCAAAGGGGAACCTGGTGGTTGTTTTTAGAGAGTACATTATCTGGCATGTGTACGCTGGCTTCAGATCATCTCTGACACCCCACAGGGCTTAGTTCTTGCTAAGCTCTCTGCCAGATTGAATCAAATGGTATTGCTGTCTAGCCGGCTAATCATAAACTAATCAAGATCACAAGTGGTCAAATCTGGCTGGTTAAAATTGGCTTCTTAATTGTACTCTGCTGATGCTGCTTATTGAGAAGTGCCGATTAGTCCTTCGTTTCCAGTTCTCAACAACTCTTGCAGTTTTGAAACGATGTCACAAACTGGAGACAGGTCTAGGGGAGATGAAGCGTTCGGTTGCTTCCCTCGCGTTCGCAGACCCTTCCGGGAGACCGATCCATTCGTCTTGTGTCTCAGTAGCATGGCATGTATAGAACAAAGAAAGCTTTGCAGAAAGCAATCGACCTTGGCTATCCTCAAAGGGCTGCATACCCACCTCTCCCGTTGCTTCGGGGGGAGTGGAGTGCACCCAGCATTGCTCACACTTCACCCCCTCCCCCTTCCAAAAATAACCACCAGAGTGTAAAATGTTCCACGGTTTTAGAACCACTCTCTGGAAATCCCAGAGCTGGCTGACTCCCAAATGGAAATGGGCTTGGTGTTTAGTCCTTACTCCCCATTTGGCTCCCTGGCAAAAGCACTGAAGAATTTGGCTTTTCCTTTAGAACAGTACTATGCTAACGGAGGCCCACAAAAGTCTCCCCTTTTTTTGGTGAAAGTGACTGTTGTTGGGATGTGCATGGGAAGAGATACAAGGATTGGAAACTCTCCACGGGGGGCGGGGAGGGCTGTCTTTCTGCTATGTGCTTGTGGAGCACCTATTATAATAGTGCCCTAGTTGTGAATGACAAGGACACAGGCCAAAAGAGGTTCTCCAGCAGCACGTATTCAATTAGTAGCATTTCCAGCTGCTTTGCAGGTACCATCAGTGCGGTCTGGAAGCTGGGTGCGTGTGCGGCCGCTCAGGAGAGACTCCAGGGCCGCGTTGTAATGGGGCCGGCACTCACCTCGCGCCCCTTCCTGCGCTGCCTCGGTTTGTTAGCCGAAAGCCTCTTTGGCCACTAGGCCCTCCGTCCAGCCACAGCCTGCGTATCACAAACACCTTCTGGGGCATGCCTCTAACAGGGCCCATCCCGGTGCCCTCTGGAGAGTGTCTCTGGCCCTCAGACTGGTGTCCCACTCCGGACAAGGGTGGTGTCTCCAGGGCTTCCCTCCTGGAGCCAGCTCCTATGCTCTTACCTCAAGGCTTTATCTTCTAATCCAACATATAGTCCACACTAGCCCCCCACACAAAGCTTCCCGTGGCACCACTTCTCCTGTAGCCAACCAGCCTCCCAGTCGTCACTGGTTCAGGGCTCCAAAGACATTGAACTGCTACGGAGCTTTGCAGCACCTTTTGTAGGCCTCCCTGGCCCCTGATTGGTCAGTACTTCTGTCCCCACTCTAGCCTTCTAGAGGACTTCTCTGTGGCCCTTTCTTTGTACTCAGAGCTTGGTCCTCCCTATTACACACCCTGTTGATTAGCAGAGCACTCACGGCTAGGTTTTTGTTTCAAGTGGTGTCCCTCAGGGCACATAAATGTTTTATTTTTTCTGCACATGGATGGGAAAGACTGAAGGGAACATTGGTTACTCTTCTTGCGTGTTTTGGTGCGGGTGGTTCAGCGATACTGGCAGTTTCTAAAGACGAGAACAGTCCTATTCTAATGGAATGAGGCATTCTCAATGAAATGAAGGTTGTGCGAGATGACCGGTTTAGCAAACATTATGGCAGTAGGCAATCCCGCAGGCACCGGTGCCAAACGTCTGGCACCAGTGCATGTCAGCACATACACCCAAGGGCGCCAACCTCCCCTCTGGCTGGTGGGGGGAGTGCCGGACCATCTCTCCACCCCAGCCCTCCCCCACTCTACCTTCCCCCAAGACTCCACCTCTGCCTCTTCCCATCCCTGCTCTGCCTTTTCCCCTCCTCCTCCCGAGTACACCTCAGCCACCTCACCTTCCTGGGGCCTCCAGAATGCTGTGAATCAGCTGTTTGCAGCACTCTGGAAATGCTGAGAGGGTGGGGGAGGGGTTGGTCAGTGGGGCAACCAGTGGGTGAGAGGCGCTGGGAGGAAGGAGGCTGAGGGGGAGTTTGGCTGCTGGTGGGTAATCAGCACCCACTAATTTCCTCTCCATGGGTGCTTACGGTCACACAGGCAGTCTGTGGCGGAGGCAGGACCTGACCTCAGTCTCTTGAGTCCCAATCCGGTGCCTAAGCCTCAGACTGTCTTTCATCCTTAATAGTGACTCCTACCCCAGCACGCAATGCATGCCTCTGCATCCAAACTCCCTGCTGCTCCCACCTACCAGGTGCCAGCAGTGCAGTGCCACCCCTACAGAATGCAGTGGCTATTTTTATTAAAGTAGTTCCAGAGGGTTATAGATTTCTTTCCACTCTCCAGCACCAGCCTTAACACTAAAAAAAGCTTCCTTCCCTTGTCTCTGCCAGGTACCCGTTAGCATTTATCGCTGCCAAAATCGCCCTGGGGATTCCCTTGCCAGAGATCAAGAATGTAGTATCAGGGAAAACCTCCGCTTGCTTTGAGCCCAGTCTGGATTACATGGTCGCCAAGATACCTCGCTGGGACCTGGACCGCTTTCAGGGCACCTCTAGCCAGACTGGCAGCTCCATGAAGAGCGTGGGAGAGGTAAGTGCTTGGAAATTCTCGCCATTCCTTTTCCTTCTCCTGTGCCATTAATGTTTCTCCCTGGCCTTCTCCGGCTGCCGCTCCTGTCTGGCCTGCCAGCCAAATGGGCGTTGAGGAGGATTTAGAACCTAGAGGGCCGTTCTTCTCAAAACAGATGCTAGCTCTGCACTTGCAGTTCTGTTCCAGTTTATCAACTGCGGTTACAGAAGTGCTGAGTATATTTGTGGTTGAACACAACAGCATGTATTAGAGGCAATTTTTTATTTGAGAAGGTAGAGAAGGCGACTGGGGGTGGCGGAGGGGGGGAGGGAACGGAGAGGGGCAACTGTTCTAGATTTGACTTTGACACATAGGAAGGAACTGGTTAAGACTGTGAAATTGGATGGCAGTTTGGGTGGAAGCATTCAGACAATGACAGAGTTCATGATTGTTAAAAATGGTAGAGAGAATGGCAAAATAAAGACAATGGATTTCAAGAAAGTGGACTTTAGCAAACTATGTCTACACAGCAGCATTATTTCAGAACAGCTGACATTATTCCAAAAGAACATAGTCCGTGTCCACACCACGAGCAGTTATTTTGACATAATGTTGACATAATGTCGATCTGGAGGACTTCTTACTCCAACTCCTGTAACCCTCATTTTATGAGGAGTAAGGGAAGTTCATGGAAGAGTGGTCTTTCTCAGACTTCCTGCTGTGTAGACAGCCACAAAAGCTGAATTAAGCTTTTTTGATTTAAGCTACGCAATTGACGTAGCTCAAGTTGCATAGCTTATTTCAGATTTAGCCTGTCTGTATAGACGTACCCTCAGGGAGATGGTAGGTAAGATCCCATGAGAAGCAAGTGTATGGAGAAAACAACTGAAGACAGACTGCCTTAGCTTACCCAGAAAATCTCGAAAGATCGAAAAATCACAAAGGAATTCTACAAAATGTAGAAACGAGGTTGAATTACAAAAGATGAACAGAAACAAATAACACAGGTATGTACAGCTAAAATTAGAAAGGCCAAAGCAAAAAAACCAAGCTCAAACTAGCTAGAGACATAAAGGGTAGCGAGAAAACATTCTAATGCTACATTAGGCCAGGTCTATACTAGACCCGGAAGGTCAGCTTAAGGTATGCAACTCCAGCTACGTAAATAATGTAGCTGGAGTTGACCTTTCTTAAGCCAAGCTTGGTGCCATCTTCGCAATGGGAGGCCAATGGGAGCATAAGCTCCTGTCAGTTTCGCTTACTACTTGCAACTGTGAGGCGTACCTGTGAGGAAAGACTGAAAGAACTGGGCTTGTTTAGTTTGGAAAGGAGAAGACAGGGAGGGGACGTGATAGCAGCTTTCAAGTACCTGAAAGGGTGTTACAAAAAGGAGGGAGAAAAAATTACTCTCCTTAGCCTCTGAGGATAGGACAAGAAGCAATGGGTTTAAACTGTAGCAAGGGAGATTTAGGTTGGCCATTAAGAAAAACCTCCTAACTTTTAGGGTGGTTAAACACTGGAATAAATTGCCCTAGGAGGTTGTGAAATCTCCCTCACTGGAGATATTTAAGAGCAGGTTAGATAAACAGCTGTCATGGATGATCTAGATGACTCTTGGTCCTGCCATTGAAGGGCAGGGGACTGGACTTGGTGACTTCTCAAGGTTCCTTCCAGTTCCATGAATCTGTGGAGATATCACATAACAAGGTTTTGCCCACTAATCAGGTAGTTCGTTGTCTAACAGTTAGCATTGGGGACCAAACTGGAACAAATTTAACATCCGGGCTGTGTCTACACTGGGTCACTTATTCTGGAAAAGCAGCCGCTTTTCCGGAATAAGCTGCAAGCTGTCTACACTGGCCCCTTGAATTTCCGGAAAAGCACTGATGATCTACTGTAAAATTGTCAGTGTTTTTCCGGAAAAACTATGCTGCTCCTGCTCGGGCAAAAGTCCTTTTTCTGGAAAACTGTTCTGGAAAAGGGCCAGTGTAGACAACCCAGTAGTCTTTTCCGGAAAAAAGCCCCGACCGCGAAAATGACGATAGGGACTTTTTTCCGGAAAAGAGCGTCTACATTGGCCATGGAAGCTTTTCCGGAAAAAGTGCTTTTCTGGAAAAGCATCCTGCCAATGTAGATGCTCTTTTTCCGGAAATACTTATAACGGAAAACTGTTCTGTTTTAAGCATTTCCAGAAAAGGGTGCCAGTGTAGACGTAGCCCCGCTGTTTCATGATGACTGGGGGGCTGATTGCAGATCGACAGGGGATGAAAAAATGAAGTAGAAATAAAATAAGAATGGGGAGAAGAAATCACCCCAAACTGAATGCAAACCTGTTCTGGGACCCCGCATGCCTTTATTTGTAAAAGTTTTGTTACCATTCCTTGGTCAATACTGTTCCCTTCTACTTTCCTCAACATTTTCTGGTCCCCTGGAAATGCTTTGGGATGTTTCCAGCATGGCTGGAAAAAATGTATTTTCCAAAAATGCTCTGCTTGGCTTTCCAGCCCCAGTTGATTCAAAGTAAACTTCTGGTCTGTTGAGAGCTTATTCAAATCATCGGAGTTTTGTTCCTTACTGGTTCCAACGAGAATGATGCGGGACTGCGAAAGCCATGTTAGGCAATAGCATGGTAGGCTGCTCTTGAGGTTCCTAGATTCCAAGGCCAAAAGGACCATATATAGTCCCATTATAGGATTTCCCTGAATTAATTCCTGCTTCAGGTCCAGCAGTTGTTTGAACAGGAACATTTCTTTTATGAAAACACCCGCTCTGAAAGATTTAAAGCTGTCCGGTGGTGAAGAACCCACAACCTTTGGGAAGCCGTTCCAAAGGTTAATCACCTTCATGGCTGACATTGTGCACCTTATTTCTAACCTGATGCTGTACTGAGAACAGAACTCAGCACCTGACGCCCTCTTGAAAGGGTCAAGTTGCTTTGGCTTTGACTGTTGTTTTCTCACTCAGCATAGGTAGGCTAGGCCTTTGAAAGTGAGGCACTAAACACCTCTTGACTTTTAAAATCTGAAATTAAGAGAGGCTGGAACAATGGTGGCAACTTCAGTTAATTTTTCAAGAGGAATAAATGAAGCAAAATGGGTAAATTATCCATTTAATTAGCTAATTGCTCATCAGTTATCCAAAGCAAAATAATTAATTGCGTGTTTTCTTGTCTTTTTCTCCCCCTAGAGTTTTTCAAGTAGCTCTCCTGCTAAATAGTTTGGATAAGTGAGACCTTACAAACACCCCCCTCCTCCTCACTCAAATCACACACCCTCAGTATGGTGGGAAGGATTAATTAGTGCTCTAGGCTACGTCTAGACTGGCATGAATTTCCGAAAATGCTTTTAACGGAAAAGTTTTCCGTTAAAAGCATTTTCGGAAAAGTACGTCTAGATTGGCAGGATGCTTTTCCACAAAAGCACTTTTTGCGGAGAAGCGTCCGTGGCCAATCTAGACGCGGTTTTCCGCAAAAAAGTCCCGATCGCCATTTTCGCGATTGGGGCTTTTTTGCGGAAAACAGTACTATGCTGTCAACACTGGCCCTTTTGGGCAAAAGTCTTTCGGAAAAAGACTTTTGCCCGAACGGGAGCAGCATAGTTTTTCTGGAAAATCACTGATGATCTTGCATGAGATCGTCAGTGCTTTTCCGGAAATTCAAATGGCCAGTGTAGACAGCTGGCAAGTTTTTCCACAAAATCATCTGATTTTGCAGAAAAACTTGCCAGTCTAGACACAGCCCTAGAGAAAAGGCTTGCTAAGGCAATTGTATTTTTAATAATGTGTGGGGCTGAAGATACCTGCAAATATTTATGGTGTCTAAACACCCTGTGACTTCATGTCCTACATTCACCTTCCACATTTTACTTCACCTGACTGGGAGTATGTCTACACTGCACACTTATTTTGGAATAAGCTAATCTGGAAGAAATACTCCGAAATAGCTTATTTTGAAATAGGCCGTCTACACCACAGGGAAGCCTCAAAATTAGTCTGAGGTAGGCTTCCCCAATGTGGATGTGCTACCTCGATTTATAGCCCCAGGAGACACTGGGGAGTAATTACTTTGAATGGCCCTGGGGAGGCGCTATTTCGAAATAGAAGCAGTGGAGCGCCCACACTACGGCTATTCCGAAATAGCTATTTCGGAAGAGGCATTATTCCTCGTGGAATGAAGTTTACAGAAGTCGGAATAAGCCGTCTGTTATTTCGAATTTATGTCAAAATGCTGTGTAGACGCTCGCATGGTTATTTCAGAATAACAGCTGTGTAGATGCACCCGAAGGGTGGTATTCAACAGTGACCCGCTATATGACTACAGAACTGCATTGTGGCTTGAACTATCCACCTCTACAGGGGAATAGCAGAGTGTAAGAAAGCCCCCTCCCTTCCCCCCTTCTGCACAGACTACCAGGGCCTTGGATTCGAGCAAGCAGTCAGTGGACAAGGAGAAGGATCGGGAATAGACAGGGCTTTGGCTCCATTCTCCTTGGCCCACCCCCTGAGCAGAGGTGTTGTTTCTCCAAGAGACCCTTCTCAGTCAGGCGATCTCCTGTGGCTGCTCTTGGCACAGTCTAGCTTAAGGACCACTGTGGTTTTTACTAGCGGAACCGTCTAGCCTCAGCCTGACTGTTGGTGAACTCGGTTGTGATTGGCTGAAAGCTTGGAACAGTGCCATAGGGTGAAAGGGGAGAGAGTTTTCCCATGACCCCTTCCACCATTTTGTTTCAGATTAATTTTCTGCCCTTTGAAGATTATATTTCCCCAGCAGGCAAACACATGAGCAGTTGAATGAGCTGCAACGGGTCCATGCAGAACAGGCTCACTGGAGCTTGGGAATGGGATAGTTTTTTAGTTGAAATAATCATTGAACAAAACCACATGAGAGAAGTTAATTAAGGTTTTAAGTGGGCTCGGTGGCAGAGGTGAAATTTTCTGCCTTTTCCCACTACTGAGGCTTAAAACTCTATCAGTCCTAGGAGGCTTTTCCAACCTTCCAGGAGTTTACCTGATGGATAGGTGCATGGATTTTGAAGGCTCCAGGACCATGACCTTCCTCGGAGTCAATTCAGCGTACCCTCTGCCATTTTCCCCACAGGCTTTAATTTTACACCCTAAGCATTTCTACTCTTTGAATAACCGAGAGGGTCAACACCTCAGCCCGTTAACGTGAGAGCTTTCCCTGTTACAGGTCATGGCTATTGGGCGCAACTTTGAGGAGTGCTTCCAGAAGGCCCTGAGAATGTGCCACCCTTCGGTGGATGGCTTCACATCACGTCTACCGATGAATAAAGAGTGGCCAGACAACTTAGATCTCCAGAAAGAACTGGCCGACCCCTCCAGCATTCGTGTCTATGCAATGGCCAAGGTAATGAAGGGTGCAAAGGCTATGGTGTCTACTCTGTTGACTCTAGTTACCAGACTGTCGGCTGAAGTAATTGAGTGGAATATTCTTTAACCCCTAATTCCTTTTTCTTCTTTGTGCACCTCAAACATATGAGGTGAATCACCTCCCATGAGGTACAACGATTCTGTTCCCCCCCACGAGTTCCTTTTTGTTATATTAGGATGGAAATAACTCTTCCTCTATCAATCCTCATGACACCTGCTGTACTTGAGTCAGCCATGAGCCTTTCACTTAAATCACTATGATCGTAGATCGGGATGGGCAATACTTTTCACGGGGGAGGGAGGCACTTCATGAATTTTGATAAATGGTCATGGGCCAGCTCTTGACTCCCGAAAGGGGCGGGGCCTCAGGCAGAAGGGGTGGAGCTGGGAGCTACAGAGAGAAAGACTGTGTGAGTGTGAGAGACACTCTGTGTGTGAGACAGACTTTGTGACACAGATTGTGTGCGTGTGGCACAGAGACCGAGAGAGTGTGTGTGGCAGTATGTGTGTGGCAGCGACTGCGGGTGTGACAGTGACACTGAATGTGTATGCTGGCTACTGCTGGGTATGTTTCTGAGAGAAGCCACACGCTGTCTTTTTAAGACAGGGAAAGCTGTGCCTCCTCCCCTGTTCAATATTTATCTGCATAATAATAATTAGCTCTTATACATGTACTTTAGTCTCCTTTGTGGTCTTTAAAAAAAATCCTGTCTCCTATACTACACTGTCTGTGAGATAGAGTGGGTTTCCTTTTTACTCGATGAATTTTTAGTTTACTAAAAATAAACTAAACCCCAAACCACATAATAAAGCATCTTCAGGAAAGTTTGAAGCCTGCGTTACCTTGAGAATGAGAAAGAACCCGAATGGTGTTCACAGCTGTGAAGTCTGGTCCTGGAGGTGAACTTTTCCATCATTCAGGGGTATTTCTGAGTCAATCTAGCTTTAAACTATGAATCAAAGTGCTTTTCAAAACCACCAATTTCTCAACCATCGAGAACCCCACCCAATCTTTGATCAAATTTGTTTCTAGCAGACCACAGGCACAGGGAAAGTACAGGACCTTGGTAATAAGAAGCACAGAGGAGAAGTCAACAGTATATTATATATGAATATAGCACGCAGTATGTATAGCATACGTAGTTACAGCAAGTATCCACCAGCAGCCATCCCTATGAAAGTCACCTGAAGTTTGGCCGACAATTTCATTGGAAGCCAAACTCTGTGCTTCTTGCCCAGGCAAAAGTCTTGCTGATGTTAATAGGATATGGGGAATCATTACCACACATTTCCAGGGAAATGAAATGCTTATGAAGTGTTTGTTAAAGTGCATGACTTACGGTCTCTTCTCTTTGGCAGGCCTTGTCTGATGGCGTTCCCGTGGATGATATTCACAGGCTCACCGCCATTGACAAATGGTTCATCTACAAGATGAAGGACATTGTGAACATGGAGAAAAGCCTGAAGGAACTCAGCAGGTAAGGAAACAGCTGAAATCCGCCTTTTTGCTTGGCATCACGCAGCTGGAAAACCAGCTGCAAGCCTTGTGCAGAAATGTGATACAGGCTGAAAAGGAACTCAGTCCTTCATGCAGCCCAAGTTGCCTTCAATCCCGATCAATTGGACTCAGCCCATGTCGCCATGACTACGCTGACAAGTGCTGCTCTAAAGGTAAAGGCATCGGGTCCATTTCAGCTGATCCTAGGAATTCTCTCTAGCTCTAGAAAGTCCTTGGTATATTTTCAAAGCTGACCATCCCCTAAAATGTCTAAGAGGGGTGGCTATGTTAATCTGTAACTTAAAAAAAACCTTAAAAAGCAAGTGGTCCTGTAACACCTTAGGGTACGTCTACACTAGCTCGTTAGTTCGAGCTAGGTAGGGTAATGAGGGCAAGCGGAGTTGCAAATGAAGCCCGGGATTTAAATATCCCGGGCTTCATTTGCATGTTCCCGGGCGCCGCCATTTTTAAATCCCCCTTAGTCCGAACTCCGTGCCCGAGGAGTAACGGTGGTTCAAATTAAGATCTTTAATTCGAACTACCTACTCCGTGCCACATGAAGCCGGTATGGGTATGGAGTTCGGACTAAGGGGGATTTAAAAATGGCGGCGCCCGGGAACATGCAAATGAAGCCCGGGATATTTAAATCCCGGGCTTCATTTGCAACTCCGCTTGCCCTCATTACCCTACCTAGCTCGAACTAACGAGCTAGTGTAGACGTACCCTTAGAAACTCACCAAATACATATATATATATATAGTATCATGAGCTTTGTTGGGCACAACCCAATTCCTCAGATGAGTGGAGCAAAAGGCATAGAAACCCCACCATTTAAAGCAGAAAAAGCAGAGAGAGGAGGAAGGAAAACCAAACCGAACCTGGTCAATTATAGTGTTGGTCCTAAATGAGGCTAATAGAGTGGTCTGTAAGTATCTCAAACTTAGCTTTTGATGTCATTTGAGTGTTGAGTATAATGGCCCATCCAGTTCATATCTTTGTTCATTCCCTGGTGGTGATGTCCCGTTTACGTATGAAGGCTAGTTCTGCAGTCTCTCTCTCTGCAGTTGGTCCCTGAAATTACTTTGTAGGAGAATGACTACTTTTAAATCCATGAATAAGTGCCCGGGCAGGTTAAAACGTTGCCCCACAGGTTCTCTGTGTTACCATTTCGAATATCTGATTTGTGTCCCTGAATCAATCCTTACTGCAAGGACAAAGAGCGTGGGGTATGGTTAAACTTCTCAATAGATTTGCACTGGCTTTTTGCACTGGAGAGCCAGAATTCATTCCGGATTGCTCTCTAAGCTGTCTGCCTGGCTTCCCACTTGCAGTATTTGTTGCTATTCTTTCGTTTACAACAGCTATAATCTCTGACATATTTAAATTTAAATCTTCCACTTTTTCAAAGTGATCATATACAATGAACCACAATAGATAGCAGCTGATCAAAGCTCCACGCTGTCTATCAATCTCAGGCTTTTGCTGACTTCAGTTTTCTCGGCATGGTTTACGAGGCCCTCCGAAGCTTCTTGCTGAGTGATTATCAGCTGCTCTGCTGCCTACGATCCATGTTGCACTACTGACGTTGAAACACATGAGGGCGCCAGAAATTTATGCTTCACAACCCTTGTAGCAAGAGACTGGTAGAAACACACAAGACGTTTGTTAAGAAATTTGCTTTTGCCTCCTGTGAGTTCTGTTTCTTTGACAAGCTGTACATTTTTAATTGAGTAGTTTTTGTTTCCCCCCAGAAAATGAGTTGGGATTCTAGCTAAGCAGAAATAAAGGCACAGAGAAGGCAAGAGAGGAGAATACTTAGAAAAAACTCCATTATTACCCAGCATGCGTAATTCCTCTCTAACTTCCATGTCATGTTTCATTTGTTTACTGGTTTCATTTAAAAAACAACTCACTCTTGTGCATATAAAGTTACCGTGTTTACACAGAACCAATTTGTTTTCCCCACCATTTCTCAGGCTACAATTGTAATTAGAAGATGCAGGATCACAAAGCACTGTCCAGATGAGGGTCAGATCCTCCCGGGATGTAAATTAACATCACTCCATTTCAGCAAACGGAGCTGAAACTGATATCTGTCAGCTGAAAATCTGACCAATTAGTTAATTACATCTCACTGTGTCTCTGTGAGATAGGTGAAGTAAATATCACTGCTCCTACGATATAGATGAACTAGCTTAGGCACATAGTCAAATGACCTTCCCAAGGTCATAGAGGAAATCTAGTGGCAAAGCAGGAAAGAAAAGTGTTACTGAATTCCACCACCGAGTATTCACCATCCACTGGCTGGGTCCAGGGCCTCGCTCCCAGCGTCCTGCCTTGGGTCCCACAGGCCCGGGCCCCTGCTCCCAGTATCCCGCCATGGGGCCCACAAACCCTTTGGTTGGGCCTGCTTCTGTGCTTACCAGCACGACTTGCTTTCTTATCCATGCTGCTACAAGAGGTCAGTGTTTGCAAATTGTACATAATCATTTTGGAGGAAATGCTGGCAAACCAGAAATAGAACTGGCACGAGGTATTACAAACCCAGGTGAATTAGCAAGCTCTATATTTATGTAGGTATGACTCTACAACTCTTTACGTGGCTATTCTGGAAGGGTATGTCTACACTTGCTCCCTAGCTCGAGCTAGGGATACAAATGTAGCCGACCGAAATTGCTAATGAAGTGGGGATTTAAATACCCTGCACTTCATTAGCATAATCTCGCCCGCATGTTATTCCACTCGCCAGCTGATTCGAACCAGGAAGTGCACTCCGGGACGCTTTAATTCAAATCAAACCCCTTGGTTCGAACTTATGTTACTCCTCATTTTTTAGAAGAAGCTTTTCTGTCGGAGAACTTCTGAAAAAACTTCTTCCAAAAGACAGCGTCCACACTGCGAAAGCACACTGAAAAAGCGATCTGAGTTTTTGAAAGATTGGGGGAGGGTCTAGACTACAGGGTTTTTTTCGAAAAAAAGTGGCCTTTTTTAGAAAAAACTTTCCCTGTGTCAAGACTGCCATCATGTTCTTTCGAAATTAAATTGAAAGAATGCGGTGGTTTTTTCAACCACAGTAAACCTTGTTTTAGGAGGAAGAACGCCTTTTTTCGAAAGTGTGCTTTTGAAAAAAGGTGCTATGTCATGCAAACTGTGCTTTTTCGAAAGAGAGCATCCAGACTGCCTGAGTGCTCTCTTTCGAAAAAGCCTCTTTTGAAAGAGGCTTGCAGTCTAGACGCAGCCATAGTGTCCACACTGAATGGACGCTCTCTAGCATGTAAGCTGTGATTATTATGGATGGAGCAGTCACCAGGACACCTGTGTTTCTTTCTTTTTCCTCTTCTTCAGAAAGAATTTCCTCTTCCCCGTCCACACACGCCTTTTTCCAAAAGAGCTCTTCGCAAAAAGGCTTCTTCCTCGTAGAAAGAGGATTACCAAACCCCTCTGTTCTTTCAATTTTCTTTTGAAAGAATGCGATTGAAGTGTGGACATAATTGAAGTTTTTACAGAAAACCGGCCATTTTTCCGAACTCTCCCCACCCCCGGTAATGTAGACATGCCCCTAGGGATCATAGTGGACAACAAGTTAAACATGAGCCAACAGCGTGACACTGTTACAAGAAAAGCAAAGATGATTCTGGGATGCATTCAGTGGTGTGTTGTGAGCAAGACACGAGAGTCATTCTTCTGCTCTACTCTGCGCTGATTAGGCCTCAGCTGGAGTAGTGTGTCCAGTTCTGGGCCCCACATTTCAAGAAAGATGTGGAGAAATTGGAGCAGGTCCAGAGAAGAGCAACAGAAATGATTAAAGATCTAGAAAACTTGAGCTATGAGGGAAAGTTAAAAGAACTGGGCTTGTTTAGTTTAGAAAAGAGAAGACTGAGAGGGGACACGAGAGCAGTTTTCAGATATCTAAAAGGGTGTCACAGGGAGGAGGGAGAAAAATTGTTCTCCTTGGCCTCTGAGGATAGGACAAGAAGCAATGGGCAGCAAGGGAGGTTTAGGTTGGACATTAGAAAAAAGTTCCTAACTGTCAGGGTGGTTAAACACTGGCATAAATTGCCCAGGGAGGTTGTGGAATCCCCATCTCTGGAGATATTTAAGAGTAGGTTAGATAGACACCTGTCAGGGATGATCTAGACGGTGCTTGGTCCTGCCGTGAGGGCAGGGGACTGGTCTTGATGACCTCTCGAGGTCCCTTCCAGTCTAGTGTTTTATGATTCTATGAATATTGTGCTGGGCTAACAAGTCTGTATTCGTTTGCAGAGAAGGAAGATTGTAGCTATGATGGTTGTAGCAAAATATCCTGCAACATGACAGGAAGCTCCTTTTAGCCCCCGTCAGTCCTAGGGGGGAAAGGAAGTAGGGGAAGGGGCCCCAGAGTGACCCCTCTGGCCTTTCTTGCCCTGAAGGAGATAGAAAGTGGAACAAGATGGATTTGGCTCTCCTCAGCCCAAATGGCATCAAAGCAAGACACTGGGAGGTGGAGGGAAAAGGGAGCAAAGGCTCTAAGCTGTGTGCAGGCAGTATTTTGAGAGGAGCAGGCAGAAGAAACATTTCCTTAAGCCTAGAATGGCCCAGATGAAACGTCCATCCTAACGGATGGGAACCAGTCCCTTAACATCACTCAGTGGTTACTGCATCCAGCACCCTACCCTCTGAGCACATGGGTCCCATGGCTTGGGAGCAGACAGCCAAACTCCGCATGACCTGCCAGACCTGCAAATCTGGTCTCCACTCAGTGGGGATTGTGTGATGTAAAGCTCCCACTTGAATGGGTCTCTCTCTCTTTAAACACGCTGTTTCCAATGTCACTTTTTCATGAGTTATGATTAGTTTATCTGTTTCCCATGAGGCGCTCGGAGGCCATGGTGGGCTCCATTTAATAGGAACAGCATATGCCAAATGGTTTTAAAGGTAGATCTGATGGCAGCTTGAGGGGCAAACTTTCACGAGTCCCTAAAGGATGTTGGAGTACAGGCT